ACTACCGCCACTGCCTCGGCCACACACGCTTAGTCATACACCTATGTCCCCTAGATGGAATCCCCGATGTGAGCGATGAGTAATTTTCCATGCGCCACGTGTCGGTCAAGGGTTGGCGAAGTCAGGTCACACTCGAGCCTACTCACGCTTGCGGATCCGACTGTCTATTGCGAGCATCGAATGTCCTCTAGGTGCTTGCAGTCTAACTTGTAGGCTGGAATTCCTTGATTCGTGCCTCGCATGATGCACTTTGATCCCGTAATGCGTACAACTACAAAAATGTCGCATCCCAGAACCTTTCGAGTGAAGTGTGGCTAATAGGTGACGGCTCAATTCACGTGTTTTCCAAAGATAATGCTTTTAGACTCAAATCGACCCTCCTCCGATGAGTTAAGGTTAATCCGTAGAGGTGGTAAGATGTGGTTATGTAGCCTCCTCCCCCCTGATGGACACAATACTGTTTGGGGTTGTGGTTAGGGTTAGGGGTTAGGGTAACTATTTCTCAATTACTCAAAGTACAACCACGCATTCCCAATAACTTTTCTTTTGCTTACAAATACTTGACCTCCCCGCCTGTGCGTTTCCCGCCCCCACCTGTAAAAACCCCTATTAGCACCGGTCCCGTACTATAGGTGGCTGGGGTTTGTTTACTTCAGGTGGGGTTACATAACCACATCTGACCGGGGTGTTTGTGGATGGGTCAATATCCTAATGCTTAATACTTGCGGGGTCCTAAACAAGGATAGGTAATTCGATAGGTCTAAAACCACGGATAAAATATGAAAAGTTCCCAGAATTTTTAGCGATCTCAGTTACGGGGCTTGAACCAAAAACCTTTGCTTTTGGCCCACCAGGTCCGGACAACTGACACCTGCGGCTAAAAGTACTGAAGAATCGTGGATCGTGTGGGCGTGTTTAGCGCTGCTTTGGCGCCCAGCGATTCCACTGTTACGAGCCTTACAACTTTAACACTCTAGAGAGTGGGAGTGGGGCACAAAACTGTGAGCTTGAGACAATTTTCGGCAAAAAGGTAGAGTTCACATCTCTTGCTTGCTCGCACGACGACCCCTTATACACGGAAGATGGGAAATTATGTAAATGAGACTTGCTTTGGTTCATCCTATTGGAAAACAGTGAATTCCACGAACCTGGAAACTCCGGCCTGTGACGGAGTCGAACCATCGATCTCTCGAACTCTGGTCGAATGCTCTGCAATCTGATCTACCAGGGAACTCTACTCACTTTGTTAACCGCTATACTCAATTTCGTTACTGAATTAGCTGACGGAGCATACTGGTTTAAATCTACATAATCTTCCATTTTCCACGTTTAAGTCTTTTGCCTGGTTACCACCAGGAGGCGTAGTTCGGATGTCATTATTGCTGAAATGGCTAGTTAGCGCGTGCACTTCATTTTCTTTGGGGACGCATAGGCGTAAAAATTAGACGGCGCCAGTCACTGTTGTGTGCTACAGCAGAGAGATCTCCATGAGTGATGGTTGAACCGCCAGCCTGTCTACATATTACTTCATTATTTCGGTCTCCACATCAAAAAAGGTCGCCATGAATGCTATCTTAGGAGGCACCATTCCAGTCCGCTTCACATTCCAAAGAAAAGCTATCCTGTGAATGGACAGCCTGCTAACTCAAGGCTTTTACTGCGCAGTGATGACTCGAGTACTCTTAGAATTTATTATAATGAGGAAAGAAAACACTCGGTAGTGGAGGGTAGTACTTGCAAGGTCGTCTCACACCCTCATTGCTTTTCGATCGTGTGACATGACTGAGTGGGGCCAACTGGAGATCAAATCTGGCGCGATCACTTATGTGGTTTGAAACCTCCGTCTATCCTATTCTGGGAACTATGCCATATCATAGGCTTTTTAACCTGTACGCAAAGCTCTTCTCCTAAGAAGTTAGTACAACGGCTATAAGACCCCTGCCCTCTGGATATGTCGGTAAATTGACTTCTGGCTTTATTTAGTGTGTTTCCTTTTTCCGAAGGTAGACCTAGCAGCAATATGCAAAAGTAATTTACCTGCTGACCTTAGTATCACATTTTATGTTCGGAATGTCGGAATGTTGATTCGAACACCCGCTAAAATAGCTTTTCACCTTCGATAGGTCAAACTAAAGGGGCGGGAACAGGATTGAGGTTCCGTTATATGCACTACCAGAGGCAAGCCACCCCGGTAAGGACAGGACGGCTTTTGGCTTTCTAAAAATTCCAGGTTTGTCAAAAGCCTAGTTGGATGTAGATGGACGGCTTTTAAGTCCAAATTCCCCACCCGTACCGTTTGCTGGGGGTTCGTTGTTAACACCGCTACGACAAACACTAGGTTTGCATAGTAGAGAGCGTTCACAAAAGCAGACTTGTGACTAGCACTCCAAAGCCATTTTTGTTACACCACACAGTTTCAATTCGTTACTTGAGAGCAAAGACCAAAGCGTGCCATTTTTAGGAGGATGCGATCTTTCCAAGAAGCAATGGAAAGAGTTGCCGGAAAGTCGGGAACGTTTTGAGCAATGCGAATGCAAATGTGACGTCCTTGACTGCTTTTTTGCTGCAGAAACGGATAGACTACCCTGAGGAAAATGCAGATGCGCTTAGTTCGGGCCATAACACTTTTTAAAGGAACCAAGTACCTGATAAAACGCGTTAAACAAAACCCCTCCTCAGTCTCGCGTTACGTCAAATTATAATTTTGTACTCCAAAACACCAACTCAATCATGAGCAGTGTAATGTAAAGCATTTAGGAACGTAATAGGGTGCGTACGTTGGAGCCACTTTCGGCAAACCCGCAAAGATTGAAGTCTGAGCGGTTTTGTCAACGTCCGAAAGTCTGAAGCATGACGTGACCATTAAGGTGCATTTTTAGCGTCTTGCAGTATGCTTCTGTGATCTGGCACGCCGTGCAGTGGGCACCTCACTCGATTTCGCAAAGCGTTCTTGCCTTACCAAATGAAGTCGCGCAGGGCATAGAACAACTGTTATTACACAGACAAGGACGTTTGAACAGATTAGTTGAAATAAGGTAAAAAGAATTCTGGCCAAATTCTCATTGGGGCAGCTTGGAGAGTAAAAATAAATTCTATGGCTATCTGTGGCTATCGTCCACGGCAGTGCTCTTCATTTGGGAGGAAATATATTTCAAGCGGAAGACATTTTTTCCGGGAAGATCGACACGCGTGCTCGTCGTCTGTTCGCCAACACTTTCTGGATGTAATAAGTTTTTTTTGGCACAAATTCCTCAGAGGACCTTTATTTCAGCTTTTACCCTCAACGTGTGGTTCAAGCTTCCCTAAGATTCAAACGGTTATTGACGGTCAAATCATTTGTACGCATGCGCTCTGAAAGTACAAGTTATCTTTATTCTCGCTTTTTGGTAGAACATTGGAAGCTTCAGAGGAAATCCCGAAAAGCACTGATTTAAAAATACGCTAGGTTCCTCAACGGAACCCCGAGAAGATTGAACCAGCCTCTAAGTGAAAGTTAACTGCGGACTGAATAGACTTGCGTCTGCCGACTGAGCACCTGTGATTTTATTTGAGCCAAATCAGATGTTCCACATTGTCTTGGAAACGCAGGTATGCGCACGACCTGCTTTCTTGGGAGAGCACCTTTTTGTTACTCATGTCGCTCCTCGACCATCAGCTTATACTCGTATTTTTCGTATAAAAGCGCAACTTACGGCATGTCTGCTTGAGGTATGCTTATTATAATTCGTCAAACCAAATATGCTACAACACTTTGTGTCCAAAGCCAAGACTCGTACATGGGTGGTTCGGTTTCCTGTCACGGTTTACTACTGTTAGCGTTGAAGTCCCTCAATTTAACTATTGCCAATTGCCAACGAGGGTGGATGAGCAAGGCCGACTTAGGAATTTCTAATTGGGCTCCCTTGGGTTTAGACCGTTGATTATTTCTAAGCGGCCTTTACAGACCTTTGGATGAGGATTATTACGACGTGCTTATGAGGACGCTTAGAGCCCCTTCGACGCCCAGGAACAATTCAGTGCATCGTAGATTGATGTTCGTCAATCTTTTCTCAGGGAATCTGCGGACTTTTAGCCGCTCCAGTGGCTGAGTTTCATCAATGAACCCTCCTCCGCCCAGCCAACGGCAGTTTTATTTCAGACTGAAAATATCCGCCCCAAGTACGGCTACCGAGGCAAAGGAGTCCAATCTTAACCCTCTGAAAAGCCAAACTGGCAGACGGCGAATTGGATGTTCGGTTTTTGCCGCCACTCATCAAAAATCGGTCACCAGTCATCTCGAATTTTTGTTTAGACTGAATAAATTCCATCGGATAGTACTAAATTCTCGAAATACCACATAATGTGATCGGGGCTGTCCTATGAGTCATTACACTTCCAACGTCTCTTGTTGGAAAAAGTGTCGCACTTAGTTGCCTCAGTTTTTTACTACGTCTTTGTTAAAGATGTCTTGTAGACATTTGCCCTCAAGTCTAAACAATGTCTACTTTCGTCAGGAAACGTTTGATCTTATACAACTAATTACTCGCCGCCGGGTGCACCGACTTCGGCCTGACTATCAACTGGAGAAAGCGGGGATCATGCATTAACCGTCATCCAAAACGCAACAGCATTTCCCCTTGAATCAGTGTTGACGGCAACCAACTCAAAGTCGTACACAACTTCGCTAGGAAACACAATTTCCAGCAAACGGAAAATGCACAAGGTCGTCGTCCTGACGACACTCTTTTACGGAGCGGAGACCTAGACCGTCTACTCTAATCATGCCAAGAAGCTCAACCATTTCCATCTCAACGGCCTTCGCAGAATACTGAAGCTGAGATGGCAAGACAGGATCCCCGAAACGGAAGTCTAGAACGGACCAGAATCCTCAGCATTCACACCGTGTTGAGGCAACTGTAACTACGTTGAAGTGGCCATCTCGTGAGGATGGAAGATACACGTCTACAAAAACAACTCTTCTATGGTGATGTTGGCACGGCTACTCGTCGACAAGGAGGACAAAACGGCGTTAAAAGGACACTTTGAGGAACTCTCCGAAACGACTGCAGATCAACCGGGCGACCTTGGAGGACCTCGCCCAGAACAGACTGACAAGGAGAAGAAAAGTGCAGACCGGCACAGCCATCTACGAAGCAAATCGTATCTTTGTCGCCAAAGCCGAAATGGAGGCTTGCAAGTCACAAATGCCTCGACTTCTCAATGCCAGCGTTCAGCCTCTTCCAACATACCCACGGAGTCAACGAACGTTCTGGGCACCAATCAGTCTCGTAGGACATCTTCGGACACAATTGGCCAACAGCCGGACAACGTCTACTCAGACTCGCCCCTGCCGAAAACGCCGCGACGATGGTCACCCCCGTCACCGCCGAACACACTTTCGCTGCCCCGTCCCCATCAATCACCGGCATCACCCGCCGTGCCCCAATCCCTGCGTCGACCACGGCGACCAGCTCCACCAAAAACACGACATCACTCCTATGGGACGACATCCGACGCCCCCTCGCCTGTTACAATCACCACCAGTGCCCTCACCTCCAACGATGTGGATTCTGTACATATCTGTCTCCATTGCGATGGCACATTCACCTCACACATAGGCCTAGTCGGTCACAAGCGAATCCATCTCACGGAGGCTGGCGAACCAGTGCCTGGAGCATCAACCTACACTCGTCGCATCTGCCTCAACTGTCCTCACTGCACGTGCACATTCGTTCACCGAATGGGCCTACTAGGCTTCATGCGCATTCATTAAAACCTGCGGTTGACGACCGCCGGTTATACCACGTCATCGTTCCTTCCCCCACCAGCACCAGCACCAAACAACAACGTCACCCATCACAAGCACTCAATTGCCACCTCCTACGCAAGTGAGAAGTGTACCTCTCGGCTCCTTCTCCATGTGGCTCCTCTGCTGCATGTGTGATCCGAGTCTGAGACTATCACGGTGCCCACTGAGGGTTCACCACTGTTGGTTTGCTTTTTACATGAAACAGTTTTAGCGTTAAAAGGCGTTCTTCTGACTAGGCGATGTTCATGGAGTAATTTTTCCAGCCACAAATCTGATGTCGGCCTTTCTTAGGAACTTGTACTTGCCTAATTTTGTCGAGATATAAGACTCCTCTGTAAGTTACTTCGATTGCCTGGCCGTACGCAAAACTACGGGCATAGGCTCTGTCACTCTTCTGCTCGCACGTGAGCCGTTGTTGCGGGGTTTTAGTTGATGAAGGCAGAGGATTCGATCGTTGTATCGAGTTTCATATATGTTCTAATGTTAAGGTAACAAATGACCCCTCAAAATAAAGAATTTTCTTGCAATTTTTAGAACTGTTAAGAGCGACTCGTCTGGCGAAATAATTTAGTTGTAACATAGTATCAGAGTTAGGGTTAGCGCGCTCCAGAATCCCCGACATCATCGGCCGTCTCAACGCATGTCTTGCTATTGCTGGCTAGACCTAGCGATCGTTGTTCTGCTGACGCCTCAATTCCCAACACCAAGGACCCTCAGGCCCAGCACCACAAATCTGACTTAATCAGATCATTCAGCTACCAAGTCGACGTCATTTCTGACCGTGGTTTGGAGAGATGACGTCGCGAATGAGCTCCCCTCAGGGTCGGGGGAGGGCATGATCGAATAATCTGGGACGATAGCTTTTTATTGTAGCACATCAGGCGGTGGCTCCGATCGATCATGCGTTTTCCACATTCTAAAAGTGCTCCATTATCCAAAGTCGTGGTATTCTTCAGTGGTGCCACCCATCCAGCAGTGGACGCGTAAAAGCCACGTTTCACTGTTGTAGAACAGGGGATCTTTGACTGTAACCTCACGCAAGGGAATCTTTTTCTTCTGTTTGACCTCGTGGTCAGGGTGAGAGCATTTTCAGAGTCAACAGAAAGTGTTCGCACGAGTTGTACAAATGCGAGTTATTCTCCTTCCGACTTTGGCTCCTATGCAATACAAAGGAACCAAGGTAGACAGTATTCGACGGCCTCGTGCTTCTCGCCATCCGGGAGGTGGGTCACTTCATGTGGTATCATGCCACCGAGTCGTACTTTTTCCCCAGCACTTAATTTTTTCCCGAATTTTTGGGAGGCTACTCCTATGAGGTCAACGACGGATTGCGTTTCCTCGAGGCACTTTCTACTCGGAATGATGTCGTCGACATAGTCAAGGTCAGATATGAGAAGGTCTTGCATTACCTGGACACCCTCGTAGTTGGGGGGATTCTCTGGACAGGTCGACGTCCTCCACAGGAGGACACAACCTTGTTGGACGTCAACATTGACAGTGAAGCGTCCGCTGTCTTCGCGGCAAGGCGGGCTGTTTGTTTGAGTGAATTGATAATTGTTGGTCAAATTCTTGACCTTCTTAGCCACCTAGAGAGCACTTCAGTTGGCCGACTCGAACGTTCTCGCAAGGCTGAGAAGACAAAATATCGTCCTCTGCTGAAAACAATGTTCCTAGTCCAGAATTCGTCACAGGGTGAGTATTTAGTCGGCCAAACCAGGGCAGAGTGACTGGGACGAACGTATTTCGCGCGCCATTGGTTGGAGAGTTGGAGGCTAGGATCAATATTTTGAGTTCGCGGATGCTAGGTGGGGCGGACGGAGAAGCTCTATGACCAATGTTCACTACGTTGGAAAAATAGATGGAATGCTTACCTTGTTTAATTCCCGAGGAAATTAATGCGCGAACTTGGAGTAACTCTTTCGAAACAGACCTTTTCAGGCACGGTCCGAAATTTGATATGAATATTTGAGTTGAAATGCTTCAGCTACTGCGAAATAACCGCGTAATATTCACAAACCGCCAACAGGCAGCCAGTAGTATAGAATTGTGTAATTGTTTACCGTACTGACAAAACAGGTACGATGGAATGATATCATCGTAGGGAGAGAGTTAAGAATGAGGAGAATCGATGAGACTGATCGATGGAATTTTCGTAATCATTTAGGGCTTGCCATTACGGTTACCATGGTCCCAGTCGAGTTCCATGCTTCGAGGAACTTTAGTCGGGGTTTGATGGGGACAACGTAGGAAATCGTTCATCTCGTTTCCACCATCCCTCAAAACGTCCCACCACAGCGAACACACTGCGACCTTCTGGACGTCCAATGACTCACTTGAACTGTGGTTTCCTGGACAGCTGTTGCATGAGACGGTTTGTTAGGGGCATGGTCTCCGGCAGTTACTATTCGAAGGAGGGAAACATCCACCTTATCTTAATGCTGCTATGATTTGCAACATTATATGGTTAACAAATTCGCCAGATTTATACCCAGCAATGCCTGTAGAACTTACTGTTGGGTAATCGGATGCTCCTTGTTCGTCAGGTTCGAGAGCACTCATTTCGCAGCTGGCTTCCCTTGGAAGTCCTATTATCTGCAGCCCGTGAATGCAGCCCAGACCTATTCACGGATTCCTGTCCTCCCTGTCTGGGGAGGGGGGGGGGCTGAGGACCAAGGTATGTTGTAGTGCGATCCCTTGCGTAACAATGTCTCCTCCTGTTGCACGATCTGGCAACATATGTAAAATCAGAAGCAGAGACCCGATGATTTAGCTAACCTACTTGATTTGGAAGTCCCCTACATTGACTGCCTCGCAGGTTTTCACAACTCGAGTCCTTTTCCACTTCGTCAAGTCTGCTCGACGTTCTCTCCACATAAATATCAGTCGCCGAGGTCATAAATGGCAGGGTCATTGAAATCATATCAAAAAGGCTTGGTGCCACTATTGTTGCTCATTCATGACGAACGGAACAATGATCTTCGAATGAATTATCAATCTCACACATTTAAATCAATGCCTAATGGGTATTTACGTTCCTCTCCTGACTATATTCAGCGGGGCGCCTTTTGTATATTACGACTGCCTTTTCCTAATCAAACAGGCAGTGAGGTTCTCTTCCTTATGAATGACAAAGTTTGACCTTTATTGCAAATGATTAAATCCATCCTGTTACCCTTAAATTCTCACCTGTATTTTTTAGACACCTCGGATGAATAAGACCTAGAAGCCTACTTCCACTCTCTGTGCTCATCATGTCGACCCTTGGTACAGTCTCCACTCCTTCAAACCCGACGGCAGTGGACAGCTCAGAGACCCTCGATCCAGTGTCAGTGGGGGACCCGCCGTCCTCAACCTCCGGCTTCGATCAGCTCTCTGATGCTGGTCCCACGGCCGCCGCCACAACAACAGATGCTGTTACCTGCAACAGTGATAGCACAGGAGCTGAAACCGCTAGGTTGGATCCGCCGGCTGTCTCTTGTTCCTCACCCCATTACGATTCTACGGCGACTGCCGCTGCCGCTGCAGCCGCAGCAATGGCTACCTTTGACTACCTGGCTGGGATGCTCTCAGGTGCCAGTCAGAGTCTGTACAACCAACTGTCACCTGCACCAGCTCAGATCCCGCAGGATGCCCCTAGGAGGAACTCCAATTTACCTGTCGACGCCATGAACGCCCTTTTAACGGCTGCCGATCCCTCCTCTAATGCCATGGACGCTTTAGCGGCTTCCACTCTCCTGTGTGAGTAACATGATCTCAAGTCTTCAGGTGGTCCTTGTTTTTGTACAGGCTGGTTTACCTTGACTACAAAACTGCACGGAACCACCAGGGTTCCCTCCAAACGCGTCGAATGAATCCGATCGGTTAAAGTCAATTGGTAGATTACCATTTGATCCAGGTCTCTCGGCGTGTTTTTGTGCAATGAGTAAAGTTAAAAAATATGTTCGTCTACAATCAGTTTGGCTCGAACTTGTTGCTGATACATGATGTGAGAGTTGTGAGTGAGAGAGGAAGGCAGAGGGTGGAACTAATACTGATAAGAGCATGCAATTTCCTCACTTTAATAAAATAGACGCAATCTGGACTGTCTCGACGAGCCAAAACCGCAACTTGGAAGGTTACCGATTGACAGATAAAATCGATCCTCCTCCGGGCTTAAAGCAGGCTACAATTTCTCTTTCTTAATGATGCTTTTACTGCGGGTCTCGCCGATGTGAGGTCCAATACGCTTTTGAATTCTGGTCCGCGTGCACGCATGTGGCATGCTTAGACGGCGTTTAGCCACATCAAACATCCCTCTCGTTTTCTTCTCCAGTACTCTTGTTTTGCTACTGGAAAATGATAGGTGTGGGAAGAGGGAGGAATGTAGATGTTGGACAAGCCTTCCTTCCTTCCTTTCTTTGTCTCTGTCCCTCTCTCACTGGAGGCTTGTAAACCTCACTTTATGAGGACCACTACTGACCGGAGAGACAGCGATGACTTGAAGGCGAGTTGGTTTATAGTGAAAGCCACTTACTCGGCACCTGTCGCGCTCTCTTCTTACACTCTTTCTGTTTCATTGACAAGACAAAGTATGGCTGTACAGGTCCGTGGACACAGTGGTTAGCGAGGGCAGACTAAGCGCATGCTGGCTCCCACACGCAGGAGAACAAAACTTTAAGAGAAAGGTATCAGATCTCTCATTTAATTTAACTGTTTTAGAGGCAACACGAAAAAGAGACCACTGCGGCCATTAAGCTATCCTTCCAGCCACAACAGCGGTACGAGATCACTGTGCGTTACTGGAATCCATGCGTTTTATCGAGTTTCATCGTCTTCCGTTCTGGAAGGCGGAAGTGAGTTTGATGTATCTACCATATTATGCGGAAGGTTTCGAACAAATAGGGATTAAAGACAAGAAGACCGTTCAAAGTAGCATGGTTACATAGAAATCGTCAATGAATCGCTTGGATTGGGCAATTCGACGG